GGGGCCGGTAGGTGCAGTGGCGGGGCCGTCAGAGGGGACGGCGGGGCCGTTAGGTGCAGCGGCGGGGCCGTCAGAGGGGACGGCGGGGCCGTCTGAAGCAGCGGCGGGGCCGGCAGAGGGGACAGCGGGGCCGTCGGGTGCAGCGGCGGGGCCGGCAGAGGGGACGGCGGAGCCGTCAAGCGCAGCGGCGGGGCCGGCAGAGGGGACGGCGGGGTCGTCAAGCGCAGCGGAGGGGCCGGTAGAGGGGACGGCGGGGCCGTCGCAGGCGATCGCGGGGCCGTCAGCGACGGCGCCGGCGTCGCGAGGGTCAGAGGGGGGGCGGCGCGCGACTGGAGGGCGGCACGCGTGACGCGGCGCGGCCGTCTAGGGGCGGCGCGACGAGGGCGCGTAGGTGGCGCGTCAGAAATTCGCGGGCGGCTCAACGCGATCGGGCCGCCAAAGGAAAAAAAAGGCCCAGCGCGACTCGGGCTAGGGCAGAGCGCGCTCCGGGCAGGACGGAATAGTAGCTGGGCCCTAGGAACAGTTCCCACTAGGGAACCTGCTCGATACCATGTTGAGATAGAGGCGAGGAATGAGTGCACTATGAAATGAAACAAGTACAAGTACCAACCCTAATTGGGTTGTACCCCCTATGGGCTACCCCACTACAGCCTAAATATATGCATCAGTAATATAATCAGGCAGGAGGAGTTCCAGTGCTTGATTCCTCTTTCGGCCAGGTACTGCTTGAATCGCTGAGAGGTGTATTCTCCTCCTTCGTCTGACTGGAAGCTTTTCAGCTGTGCTCCCGACTCTCTTTCTGCTACTGGTAGCCAGGCGGCGAACGCTGCGAGTGCCATGTCGCGGCTGGGTAGATTTAGATGCCAGACGTATCGAGTGGCGGCGTCGATGAAGGTAATCGTGTAGTTGTAGGTAACTTGTCCTGGTTCTCGATTGAAGAGAATATCGCTGTACACCTTCTCGAGTGGTGCGTACGCGGGTGCGCTCGGGTTGTGATGAGGAGTGAACGGTCGATGTGGTAAGTCGGCTTCGGGGCAGGTAAGACAAGTCCCTCGTGCCCGTTGGATTTCTTTGCCGTCGGGTAGTAATAATGAGTCCTTGTCTAGGACTCCTGCTCTTATCGTGTTATTTAACACTGTGTTGCTTGGATGTCCCATTCGTGCGTGCCATATGTCTTCGGAGGCGCGGTGTCCGGGTGAGCGTCGATACGCGTCGGAGTTGGAGTAAAAGTTGGCAACGAAGTTTGCGCTTCTGTGGGCTTCTCGTTGAGTTGGTTTCAACTGCTGTGCGGGTGTTGGTGGTGTTTCGTTGAGGAGGACTGGTGTCGTTGGTCCTGCTGCTGCTGGCGATGTTGTCTCTGCTACTGCCGATGATGTTTCTGCTGCTGCCGATGATGTTTCTGCTGCTGCCGATGACGTTTCTGCTGTTGCCGATGTTGTTTCTGCTGCTGCCGATGATGTTTTTGCTGCTGCCGATGTTGTTTCTGCTGCTGCCGAATGTTGAATTGTTGCTAACGCGCGTGTTCTTTCTGCTTCAGGGATGGTGTGCAAATACTAGAAGCCTTCCGGGCTGAAGTCCGGATCAAGATCCGGAGGATGTGTCCAGTCGGCGAAGTTCACGATGGCGTCGCTGTCTGCAGTGCCCAGGTCTGGGACGAAGTCTAGGACGAAGACGTTGTTCTTCAAGACCGCCTTCCCGATGTAGAGGCTGCCTTTCCCGTGGTATAATTTGAACTCCTGGGTGGTACTGTCGGCTTCCAAGTGAATGCCTTTCGCCATCAACTGGCTGGCGCTCAGTAAGTTGTAGCCGAGTCCCTCCGCGATTAGTACTTTTGACATATGCAGTATAACATTTGTCTCTCGTGACTGAAGTTGTACTACTCCTTGTCGTCATGTGCGCAGGTTCTGGTTGTTGGCGACTGTGATGACGACCTCTCGTTGAAGTCGATGTTCGCGTTGGACGAAGCGTCCCGAAGAGCACATGTGCTGTCCGCAGCAACTGTCCAAGAACCATGTATCTTTCCCGGACGGTTCGCTTTGAGCAATGGCGGCGTACGTCGGGTTCGGTTGAAGGGACTCGCGGCGAGGCGTGCTGTTGTCGAGTTGCTCTTCTGGTGAGTAGTATGGTGGTGACTCGGTTGTGCAGGAATCTGTTATCTTTACCATGCAGTTGACGATGTTTCTTGTTTTTTGTGCAGGTTGTCCTGTTGGAGTCGTTGAAGCTTGGACTGAAGGTGTCGGGGTAGCTTGTGTTGAAGTGACTTGGCTGCTCGAAGGTCGAAGTTGTCGCTGTGGTGTTGTCGATTGATGACGATACGGGCAGTGCGTACGAGGATGCCCTGAAGTCTTGCAGATGTGGCAAAACGGAGGTACTGGCTTCGGTTGTTGTTGCTGTCGACTGTTGTTGTTGTTGTAGCGTCGCTGGGTGTGAAACGCGAACTCTGGTACTGACGTTTTTTTCTTATGTCGTTCTTCTTGCAGGTCCATGTCCTGCTGCTCGGCATGGATTTCGGCGCAGAGTGCTGCTTCGGAGATTCTCCCGTGTGCTCGTAGTATGGCGCGAGTGGAGCGCCAGTGAGGGCCGAGACCGCCGATGACAACCGTGACAAAGGCGTCTTCTGAGATCGATCCCCCACATCGAAGAAGCTTGACGCGCAGTTCGCGGCAGCAACTGATATACTCCATGCCCTTCTCGCCTGGTTTCATTTCTATTGTTGTCAGCTGCGCCATTAACCGACTTTGGTTTACACTGTCTGTTGCTTGATACAGGTTCTTCAAGTGGTTGTACGCGAGCTCCGCGGAGTTACCGTAACCTCGGTAAGTCATTATGTTCTGCTGTTGGGTCGGGGTGATGTTCCTCAGTAGTATTGTGTACGCCATCATCGATTGATAGGTGTACTGCTGCTTCTCATACTGTGTGCCGTTTGTTGGATATGGCAGGGACCCGTCGAAGAAGCCAAGGATCTGCGCTCCTTCCATCATCAGCTCGAATTCGAACGACCAGGTAAAGAAGTCCTTTCCGTCAAAAGGCTTTGTCGTTTGTAGTTTTAGAACATGCACGAATTGCGACTGAACTTGTAATGCGTCCAGCGCTCTCTCTTGCCCCGGTGCAGGTTATGGTTGCGGCATGAAGCTGACAGAGCCGCGCTGGGGCTCGTACGGAGCGAAGGTAGGTTGTTGATGTTGATTCCCGCGTGCGTAGGATGAGCCATCGAGACTCATGGGTGTCACGTTGTTGTTGTTGTTGCTGTTGTTTGATTGCGCAGGTACTCTTTGTTGGTGCTGCTCGTAGAAGGACATGAAGGAGAAGAATTTCTCCATCATGCTTGGATCGAAGCCCGCGCCTTGGTTTGCGGGTGTTTCCGTAGACCCGGTTGCTGGTCTCGTCGTTGTCCCTTCCTCTGTCTGTAGGCCAGAGGCAGGAGGTGGAGTAGGGGTAGTACCGGGAGAGCCGTTGGAGGAGCTCCTCTCCTTTCTAGCAGACATGTCTTCTTGATGTATGAGTGTTGAAAAGTAGTAACTTTTAACTCTAACTGCTCTCATACCATGTTGGGCTAAAACGCCCTAGGATCTTTGTAGAGTTGAAGTCTGAGTAAGTGATGTAATAGCGGAAGCGTTGAATAAAGTCCTTGAACCACCTTGCGCTAGTATGTGAGGGCAAAGTAAGTTTATTAAAGCAAAGAGATACAGGAATAAATATATGAGTACAGAGAATATGAAGAGACATTATAACTATTTTACTGTTGCGGTTCGATACAGTGCGACTCGGGCAACTGCTCAATGTCGAGTCAGTTGTGTGTCCTTGCTGTCGCGCTGCATCAGGTCAAAGGTCGCTGACCTTTTACTTTCTCGTAACCTCCAGCGGTTACGTTAACTTCCGAGGGTTGACTCGCGATGCTTCGATTTGAGCTGCTTCGCTTGTGTCTTGAGTTCTGACACGACAGAGGCGCTTGAACTATTTGTTCCCAACAGAAACAACTCTTTCCTTGGAGCATTGCTTCTGCTGCTTTTGTAGTAGTATACACATAATCTGTAGGCAACTCTCTGTAACAAATTACCGCTCGAGCGAAATCTGTGTTCGGGTTATCTTCACTTTTGCGAGCCGAACACCGTCATCCTAAGGACGTGTGAGATTTTTTATGGAGTTTGTAATCAGGGTCGAGCTATTGGTGGTTACTTCGTTCGTCAATGTTCGCTAACCGCCTCGCCGAAGTCGAAACAAATTCCCCGATTGGGAAGTGCGAACCCTCATTTGTGAACTTGATACAGAAAAATTCGTGAACTTGCACAAACACAAAGATCCAAACGTGTGTGGTGTCAGGCACGTACGAGGTTTCAGCGAACCTCGCGACTCGTTCGTGCGCCAATGAGATCACAACCAAGACACAGCGCATTGCTGAACTCGCTATGGCCACCACGTGGCACAATTCGTGCCACGATGGCAGTGAGCATTGGAAGTACGAGGCATCGCAGGTAGCCTTGAAGCACAATCCCCAGGAAACGCACGAGCTGAATGAGAGTCATTGTGAGATGCTGACTTGGAAATTGGTTCATCTCGCCGATATTTGTATCGTGCACAACTGCCACAGATGTGAAGTTGAGCTGGAGGTCTAGGGCTCACTTTTTTTAGCAGCGCTCCGGTGACGTGTCGCGCTGTGGTGTGCTTGAAACCGGGTAACCTACAGTCTCCAATTGCGGCTCGGTTCCCCCTCTGTAAATTCGAACTTGCAAATTCGCACCTTGGTGTGTGATTGTGAGTATACAAGAATTTGCACTCGCGGTGCGAACCTTGCCACATCTCAAAATCGATTCAAGTTCAGGTTATAAAACCCTGCTTAAATCGAGTAAAAACGTGAACTTTCATAAACCCTTGTTTCACACACGTCCTAAGCGCAACACAATGGCTCGCAACTCCTAGGCGTCGCAGGGCCGTCGCATGCGACGCATTCAGTCGCACAGGTCAGTCGCATCGCACGCGCGACTCGCCTGAATTTCAGCAGCATGTCGCCCACTATGTCATGCGCTCGCGCGTTTCCCCGTTATTGCCTCACAAAACTTCTCCGCGCGCACATTAGCCCTTGCGCGAGTCACCCGCACGCGCAACACGCGCCGCTACCCTTGCCCTTCCACGCAGCATGCCGCGCGCTTTACAGTTCTCCGCGCGCAGCAGCCGCGGGGGATGCGGGTGACGCCCCGAGGGAGCAGGCGGAGTGTGTGTTGGTGGGCGCGGGCGTGGTGCGGCAGCGGGAAAAGGAAAGGGGCGGGGGAGCGGAGACTGGCAGTTACATGCCATTGCCGGGTGTGGTGGCGGATTTTGAGGCGCAGGCGAGGGAGCAGGCGGAGTGTGTGGTGGTGGGCGGGGGGATGGTGGGGCTTGGAGGGGAGAGAAGCGGGGGAACAGCCCCTGGCGAGGCCGTTGCAGGGCTGGCTATGTCGCCACCCGTGGATTTCGAAGCGCGGGAGAGGGAGCAGGCGGAGTGTGCGGTGGTGGGCGCGGGCGTGGTGGGGCTGGCGGTGGCGCGCGCGCTGGCAGTGGCGGGGCGGGAGGTGGTGGTGGTGGAGGCGGGGAGCGGAGTGGGGGGCGGTATCAGCTCGCGCAACAGCGAAGTGATTCATGCGGGGCTATATTACCCACATGGGTCGCTCAAGGTATGCCTCTCTTAGGTTGATGATGGGGTGACGAGATGATACTCTCTCGCTTAAGGTAAAGGCTCATATTCCACACACGTAGACGGGGGAACGAGCGGCGGCATCAGCTCACGCAACAGCCGAGTGGTTCACACGGGGCTGTACTACCCTCACGGGCCGCTCAAGGTACGCCTCTCTTAGGATGATACTTGCTCGGTCAGGAATGAGAAGCCCACAAGACTCATGTGTCTCGCTTGTCTCGCTTAACGTGCATGATACTTACTCGTGTCTCGCTTAACGTGGATGATACTTACTCGTGTCTCGCTTAACGTGGATGATACTTACTCGTGTCTCGCTTAACGTGGATGATACTTACTCGTGTCTCGCTTAACGTGGATGATACTTACTCGTGTCTCGCTTAACGTGGATGATACTTACTCGTGTCTCGCTTAACGTGGATGATACTTACTCGTGTCTCGCTTAACGTGGATGATACTTACTCGTGTCTCGCTTAACGTGCATGATACTTACTCGTGTCTCGCTTAACGTGGATGATACTTACTCGTGTCTCGCTTAACGTGGATGATACTTACTCGTGTCTCGCTTAACGTGGATGATACTTACTCGTGTCTCGCTTAACGTGGATGATACTTACTCGTGTCTCGCTTAACGTGGATGATACTTACTCGTGTCTCGCTTAACGTGGATGATACTTACTCGTGTCTCGCTTAACGTGCATGATACTTACTCGTGTCTCGCTTAACGTGGATGATACTTACTCGTGTCTCGCTTAACGTGGATGATACTTACTCGTGTCTCGCTTAACGTGGATGATACTTACTCGTGTCTCGCTTATCGTGGATGATACTTACTCGTGTCTCGCTTAACGTGGATGATACTTACTCGTGTCTCGCTTAACGTGGATGATACTTACTCGTATCTCGCTTAACGTGGATGATACTTACTCGTGTCTCGCTTAACGTGGATGATACTTACTCGTGTCTCGCTTAACGTGGATGATACTTACTCGTGTCTCGCTTAACGTGGATGATACTTACTCGTGTCTCGCTTAACGTGGATGATACTTACTCGTGTCTCGCTTAACGTGGATGATACTTACTCGTGTCTCACTTAACGTGGATCATGCTCCTACCTCTGCTTCCATCCTCTGCTGACGTGGCAGGCACGGCTGTGTGTGGAGGGGCGGCGGCAGCTGTATGCTTTCTGTGAGGACAGGGGGGTGCCGCACCGCAGGGTCGGCAAGCTGGTGGTTGCCACGTCAGCAGACCAAGTGCCGCAACTGGAGAATCTTAAGGCGAGTTCAACTGCTCTGCCGTGCCCCCATGCCCCCATGCCCCCACCCCCATGACCCCACCCCCATGCTGTATGCCCCCATGCTGTATGCCCCCATGCTGTATGCCCCCATGCTCATCCCTTCATGCTGCAACCTTCACCCTCTCCTCCCTGTTCTCTAACCCCCAATGCCCGTTTTTCGGACTCACCGTTTCCTCTTCTCCTTAAGTTCTCCCACCTCTCACCCTCATCTCGCCGTCGCGCCAAACCCGCGCGTGGAGGAAACGGGGTGGAGGGGCTTCGGATGGTGGGCGGGGAGGAGACTTGTTAATCTCAACTCAGGACTCTCTGAAAGGTCCCATTGCATACCATTGCCTACCATTGCCTCCCATTGCTTGCCTCTCTATCGCCGTCCCGCCAGACTCACGCGGAGGGCAACGGGGTGGAGGGGCTTCAAATGGTGGGCAGGGAGGAGGCAAGCCGGATGGAGCCACGAGTGGAGTGCCAGGCTGCGCTGCTGTCGCCGCACACTGGCATCGTGAACTCACACGCACTGATGCTCGCCCTTCAGGTGATGAGACGACTCTGCAGGCACGTTCAGTAGTGATGAGATGGCTCTAGGGACACCTGAAACAGTGTTCAGGTGGGGTGAGAGAATGGAGCCTCGAGTGAAGTGCCATGCTGCGCTGCTCTCCTCCCACACAGGCATCGTGGACTCACATGCTCTCATGCTCGCTCTCCGGGTGATGGGACGACTTGTGACGCGCAACCGACTCTTCTCATAAGAATATGATAAGAGCGAGCATTCTCTTCTCTTATCGCCCCCACCTGTCGTGCATTCTCACTTCCAACGTCCCTCCCTCACACTTATTCCCCTCCCTCCCCCCTTTTTCTCTCCGCCTCTCCATGTGTTTCTTCCTCTGCGGCACCAACAGCGCAGGCAGAGGCAGAAGCAGCAGGTGCTGTATTCGCTTTCAACTCAGCCGCAGTGGGCATTCAGGCCAACCCAGCCGACCGCTTCCCACTCCTCACCACCATCCGAACATCCTCGCCTACCAGCAGCAGCAGCACTGCCACTACTACCACCATCACCAGCAGCAGCAGCACCACCACCACCACCATCACCACAACCACGTTGCTGTGCTCGCGCTATTTAGTGAACGCAGCTGGGCTCGAGGCTCTTCCTCTCGCGCACCGCACCCACCTCACAGAGGCGCCCATCAAACCGCAACTGCCACCCCTCCGCCTCCCTCCTCTCTACCTCGCCCGCGGGCATTACTTCGCCCATTCTGGCCCACCACCCTTCTCCCGCCTCGTGTACCCGCTGCCGGAGCCGGGGGGCCTGGGCGTGCATGCCACGGTGGACCTCGCCGGTCGAGTGCGGTTCGGCCCTGACGTGCAGTGGTTGCACGCGGTGCCACTCTCTGCTGCCCATGGCATGCCCATCAGGTGTGCTTCTAGTTCAAGACACTCATTATCTGAGTCGGCTTATTATTATTAACCGGTATTATCGGGCCGGTCTTTAGCGGACTCAAGAGCCAAGGGGCCTGCTTGGGCGTGCATGCCATGGTGGGCCTGGCCGGTTGAGTGCGGTTTGGCCCCGACGTGCAGTGGTTGCACGCGGTGCTGTTCTCTGCCCCTCACGCCACGGCCTTTTACTTGGTGATTTGCGAGTACTGACCTTCACTGGAAGGGGGATGTCTGCACACTGTCTGCAAACTGTCTGCACACTCACTAGGCTCGCATCTGCCCCAAACTCTCCACCCCTCACCCAAACTCGCACGCCAGCTACGACTACTCATTGGTCCTGAAAGGGATGAATCAGTCTACTCCGCGTGTGATGAGTCAATTTTTTTAGTCGGCTCAGCACACGCTGAAAGGGATGAATCATTCTACTCCGCGTGTGCTGAGTCGATTTTTGAGTCGACTCAGCACACGCTGAAAGGGATGAATCATTCTACTCCGCGTGTGCTGAGTCGATTTTTGAGTCGACTCAGCACACGCTGAAAGGGATGAATCATTCTACTCCGCGTGTGCTGAGTCGATTTTTGAGTCGACTCAGCACACGCTGAAAGGGATGAATCATTCTACACCGCGTGTGCTGAGTCAATTTTTGAGTCGGACTCAGCACACGCTGAAAGGGATGAATCATTCTACTCCGCGTGTGCTGAGTCGATTTTGAGTCGACTCAGCACACGCTGAAAGGGATGAATCATTCTACACCGCGTGTGCTGAGTCCATTTTTGAGTCGACTCAGCACACGCTGAAAGGGATGAATCATTCTACTCTGCGTATGCTGAGTCGATTTTGAGTCGACTCAGCACACGCTGAAAGGGATGAATCATTCTACTCCGCGATCCGCAAATACTTCCCTTCACTGGAGGCTGCCTCTCTGCATTCCTCTTCACCCCTCACCACTCCCCCCAACCGCCCTCATCTCCTCCCCACGCCAGCTACGACTACTCGGTGGACCCCCAAAGGGCCGAATAATTCTACACGGCGATCCGCAGGTTCTGCCCGACACTGCAATATAACACTCTGCATGCCTCCTCAACCCTCACCACTCCCCCCAACCCCCCTCAACTTCTCCCCACTCCTCTCCACGCCAGCTACGACTACTCAGTGGACCCTGCAAGGGCCGAATCGTTCTACTCGGCGATCCGCAAGTACTTCCCGACACTGCAGCCCGGCTCTCTGCATGCCGACTATGCGGGCATTCGCCCCAAAATCACCGCCCCGGGGGAAACTGCAGCCGATTTCCTCATTCAGGTGAGGCTGGGAGGTAAGAGAGGGTGGTGAGGGATGGGCATCACTGCAGCCCCGCTCTCTGCATGCGGACTATGCCTATGCGGACTATGCCTATGTGGACTATGCCTATGTGGACTATGCCTATGTGGACTATGCCTATGTGGACTATGCCTATGTGGACTATGCCTATGTGGACTATGCCTATGTGGACTATGCCTATGTGGACTATGCCTATGTGGACTATGCCTATGTGGACTATGCCTATGTGGACTATGCCTATGTGGACTATGCCTATGCGGACTATGCCTATGTGGAGAAACCGGCCCAAACTCAGCGGCCCAGGGGACCCAGCAGGATGCGTGCGTCTTTCTCCACATAGGACTATGTCGGCATCCGGCCCAATCTCACCGGCCCAGGGGACCCTGCTGCTGACTCCTTGATTCAGGTGTGACTGGGCGGTGAGATGGGCAGTTGTGTGCCCTGTGCCTTGTGTGAGATAAGAAAGACCTCTGAGCTGATTCTAGGTCTAGAGGCACTGCAGGGCGGCTCTCTGCATGCGGACTATGCGGGCATTCGACCCAAACTCACTGCTTCTGGGGAACCTGTTGCTGACTTGTTCATTCAGGCGAGACTGGGTGGTGAGATGTGTGGTGGAATGGGCCATGTGTCAACGTTTTTCTCACTTCCCTTCTCATTCATTCTAAATTCGACTACTAACTACTCGGAATGCGCTACCACCCGTGATGTGTGAGCCTGTACCCTCCTATTGCGAGTGCGCCTAGAGTAACAGAACAGACCCATGCCAGGCCTTATCCTCCTTTCTTGCTTGTTCCTTCCCAACGCCGTCAAGATTATGACTCCCCTTATCCATGCCATTCGCCTTGCACCCATGTCAATCATGACAGACTCACGCTACACATGGCATGCCGGGCCTCATCCACCTTCTCGGCATAGAGTCTCCAGGACTCACCTCGTGTCTTGCCATTGCCAAATATGTGAAGAGCCTGCTGTAGGGTGTGCATACCCGTCGTATGTTGGATGTTGCTATACAGTCCCCCGGATTCACCTCATGCCTTGCCATCGTTGCGTATGTGAAGTGAAGAGCAACCTGTTGTTAAAGCGTGGTGCCTCTTCCATTCCATGTTACCTGCACTTGACCCCTGCGACAGTGTCATGTCATGATAACATGCTTTTGTGAGCACACATGAGCAGCACACATGCCATGCCAGGCCTCATCCACCTTCTCGGCATGGTCTCCAGGCGTCATCTCGTGTATTGCTGTTGCCGAGCATGTGAAGATTAATGCAACATACCGCTGTGCACAATTTAGGGCGTGTTCCTACGGCCTCATATCAGGAAACCTCGTATTAAGAATGTACTTTTTGCTTGGTAAAACTAGCGAGAGGTTTTCAGTTTAGGGGAATTTTCAGTGTGAGCCTGATACAAGGTTCTCTTGATACGAGGTGTAGGAACATGCTCTTATCATTGCGTTATTTGCCGGTTGTGGCGCGAGGCCACTAGGTCATTTGGTTTATCCCCACCAACCATTGCGTCAGGTGTTTTTCTTTCATTTCATTTGACTGAAGCGCATGTGATTTCAACGTGAAACCTTACTCGACGTGATTTCAAGCTGAAACAGTACCCCTGGGTAGACCTATGAGTCTCAGCGTCGTCAGCGTAAGAAGAGTCACAGTGACCAGTAAGTACGACAGGCTGCTGCCCTCCAAGAACTAGCCCCACGCCTGATGTCGTCGCTAGGTACTTCGCCACCCCCACAGCTGCCGTCCAGTAAACAGGACGGTGTCTCCCTGTCGCAACAAAGCGAGCAAGGATGCTGAGAGGGAAGGCGAGGTCCGGGCGAGTGCAAGTCACCAGGTACATGAGGCAGCCCACCAACTCTGCGTAGGGACCACTAGACTCAAACGGCTCGTCAGGAAAGGGTCCAGTAAGTCTGTGGTCAACAACAAGAGGTGTGCGCTGTACTATGGAGTGCTGAAGCTTGAACCTCTATAGGACCCGCTGCACTATGTGTGACTGTGAGAGTGTAATGGTGCGAGCAGCTCTGTCCCTGGTGATCTGCAGGCCGAGGTAGTGGCGTAGCTCACCAAGGTCAGTGCACGTGTCTCTCTTCTGCAGTTCGGACTTCACGTCTGCCAAGGCAACCCTGTCAGCAGTGGCAAAAACCAAGTCGTCGACGTAGACCAGAACAAAGAACGGCGTGGAGCCACGACGAGCGAACAGCGACGCGTCGGCAGAAGACGGCTGGAACCCAATGTCAGAGAGGGTAGAACGAAGAGTGTCGTGCCACTCACGAGGAGCCTGACGAGGAGCAAGACCGTAGACAGGTCGCATCAGCCTCCAGTGGGTCCCAGGAGGGAAAGTGTCAGTGAAGGCAGAGGGACGACGCAGCCAGACCTCCTCGTGTAAGCTACCCTGAAGGAAAGCAGTGGAGAAGTCGAGAGAGTGTAACTCGTAGTCTCTCTGTGCTGCTACGTGCAGTAACACCCGAAGAGTGGTCATCTTCGGGGTAGGCGCAAAGGTCTGAAAGAAGTCAACTCCCTCGCGCTGACTGAAACCTCTAGCCACGTAGCGCGCCTTGAAGACCGGAGGAGATCCCGGTGGCCGCTTCACCCTGTAGATCCACATATCATCGCGAACGTTCGCCTCAGGGGGGGGAACCTTGTCGACGTAGGTGCCTGCGGATCTGTAGGAGGCCATCTCTGCGTCCATGGCAGCTCTCCATTGAGAGGCCCAAGGCCCTGACACTGCCTCAGCGTAAGTGCGAGGAGTCGGTATGCCAAGGGCGTCCGGTTCTCCCTCAGGGGCGAGCAGCATGGCACAGAGATGTGGGGAAGCGGCTGCCAAGAACTCTAGCTCAAACTGCCTGTCCTCTAGGGCGTCACAGCCAAGGGCAAGCTCAACCCGGACGGCCAGAGGACGGGTAGGAGGAGCAGCCACAAGACAGGTGGCGTAGTCAAGGTGGTGAGTGGAGGCAAACTCAGTGACTGCGGCAGTAAGGGCGGAGACAGAGGAGACAGTGGCACGAGGGTCAGTAACAAGAGAGGCGAGAACACGAGAGAGAACAAGACGGTACGTGCGGTAGTTGTCAGTGACAGGAGTAGAGAGAGAAGCAGTGAAGGCCGACTTAAGAGGAGACGGAAGGAGAGACGAAGACGAACGAGGCGTACTAGAACGAAAGAGAGCAGTACGAAGGTCAGTGACGAGAAGAGGAGACGAGGGACAAGCACGAGGGGAGCTACGAGAGGCCCAAGTCTGAGGAGGAGGGGACAACGGAGGCTGAGAACGAGGGAGAATAGCCGGGGAGGGGTCAGGAGGAGGAAGCGGAGGACCCGAGACGGGAGGAGAGGGGGAGAAGGAAGGAGAGCGGAAGGGGAGACCGAGGGCCCGAAGACCGGAGACAGGAGGAGGAGACGGCGGCTGCTGCTGCTGCTGCTGCTGCTGCTGCGGCGGCTGCTGCTGCTCCTCCTGCTGCGATAGCGGCTCCAGCTGCGGCTGGTGCAGCTGCTCCTGCTGCTGCTGCTGCTGCTCCTCCAGCTACTGCTCCTCCAGCCGCTGCAACTCTCTCTCCTCTCTCTCCAACTCCAACTGCTCCTCACGAGCACTACGAACACGAGCCTGGTGCCGGGTCGGGTAGGGGTGGGGGGGAGGAGTAGTGTCGGGGGCTTCGGTAGCCCCGGGACCGCCCTCCAAAGCACCTGGCGCACCATCCCCAGAGTCAGCACCACCAACAGCAACACGACCAGGCTCACTAGGACCCGAAGAGGGTGCACCCGCACCCCCAGACGTAGCACCCCCAAAGTCAGTTGGAGCAACACCAGCTCCCGGAAGACAAGAGTTTCCTGCAACCACGGGCTCAACTCCAACTCCAGCACCCCCAGAGCTAGCTCCTGTAGGGCCCTCTCCATGAGCACCAGCTCCCGCAGGGTCTGCGGCAGACTGCGAGGAGGACTGCGGGGAAGGAGGCTGCACCTGAGGGGCTACCGAGTGGGGAGGGGTAGCCTGAGACACACCTGACGGGGCGGGACCAGGGGGGGGAGGCTGTACCGGAGGAGCAGGAGGGGGAGCGGAATTCATGAAGAGAGGGGGAGGAGGAACCGGGAGACCTTGACTCGGGTACCTGACGTAGTAGGGGGTGGACTCCTCGAAACGGACGTCACGGGAGTCAAATAACCGGTGAGAGGTGTCATAAAATGTTATTTGTCTAGCCTGCAGTGGGGTACTCAATAGTGAGTACAGCCCTTTAGGGTTTCCTATTTGTACCAACCTGCTTGCTAGTGCAATCATTCCTTCTCATTTCTTTCTCTTTCGTTCACATCCTTGCTAGCCCTAGGGCCCAACCTCCTATTCTTCGTGTGGCCTAGGCTACTTAGCCTAGGCCCTAATGCTACTGTTTCTGATAAGAGGGAGGGTGGTAAAAGGTGAAGTCAGAGGAGTCCTCAAGGAAACCAAGGAAGATACAGGAAACGGCGCGAGGCGAGAGCTTGTCCGCGGAAATGTCGCGGACAAGAGCCAAGCAACCCCAGACACGAAACCTCGACGCAACACCAGAGGACCCGGTCCAAAGACTGGTCGGTGAAGCCTCTAGCCAAGAGACGCGTGACCAGAGGTTCAGCTGGTGAGCGGCTTACCTAACCGCATAGGGCCATAGAAAATGGGGGGCACGGGCGTGATTCAAGGAGGTGCGGGCAATCTCCATGACCAAGCCTATGCGGCACTCAACAACCCCATTCTGCTGTGGCGACTCTAGAAGCATCCAAGACTGGCGTATGCCCTGCTCGCGACAAAATCCAGCAAGAATGCCGGAGCAAAGCTCACCCCCACGGTCAGAGTGAAGATAGCTGACACGACGACCACGAGTGCCCTCAGTGGTAAGCAACCACTTGATCAGCGTAGAAGTCACTTCAGACTTCTTTGCCAGGGGGAACACTGTGGTGTAGGGGGAGTAGTCGTCAATGACCACAAAAGAGAAACGTTCGCGCTCAGGGCCAAGGCGAGGGGCGGGGCCCCAGACGTCCAAGTGGAGCGTCTCAAAAGGCTCGGTGGCCGGACGAAGGGAGGAGGAGTGAGGGGTGGCGCGTAGCCGACCCTCAACGCAGGGACCGCACGGCGGTGCAAGCGAAGGCGACAGCGACGGCAAGACACGCGGGAGGCCTAAGACAAGACGCTGACGAGACATAGCGCGCAGACAAGGGAGGGACGGGTGCCCCGTCCGATGGTGCCACAGAACGGTGGGGTGTGCAAGCGACCGGCAGGAGCACGACGCAGCAGCTGGCGGGAACACGGGAACCTAACCAGACACAGCTACCTGGGGGGATGCAGCAACCTGGTGAGACGCAGGGACCAGACTGGGGGAAGTAACCGGGGCCGGGGGCAGGAGTCACTACTGCTGCTGCTGCCCACCAGGGCCAGTGTGAAGTGTGTAGAGACCAGAGCCCGGCTCGGCAGTAAAGGTGGCAAGAGGCGAGTAAGAGTCGCCGTCAACACAAGCCGCCATCTCACCAGAGGGCTCAATCCACACATCCACGTGCTGACTCACAAGAGGCCTCACGCCCACCAAGTTCCTCGAGAACGAGGGGACGTGGAAGCCAGTCAGAGACCCAGAGGGAACAGCAGGGCAAGGAAGAGTAGTAGTGTAGCGAGCAGTGACTGGTCCCGAGGTGGGATCAGCCAGGGCCACAGAGACTGGCGCAGGAAGTGGAGTAGCTGTCGTGTGGTCGCGGAAGAAGCAGT